GATCTGGTTGTGTAAAGTAGCATCAACTTATGTCCCCACAGGCGCCACCTGTGAGCATGACCTTCTCATGGGATTACCTGTTACCATGCTTGCATGTTTGTATTTTTTAGTTGTTGTTCATGTAGCTAAACATACCTAGAGTAGTTGAATTTAAATTAAGTTTTGGCCATTTGCCAGTCGCATGAGTCTTGATCTTGCTGATCTCTCTTTTCCAGGCAAAGCTGTAATCCAGGCTGAGTAAACGACCGCGGAGACCGGCTGGAGCCACCCACCTTGGGAGGCCTGGACACCGGGCATGTTAGGGAGTAGCAGGGACTGCCCGGAGGTGGTGGGGGGAGCACAGGAGGGCAGGGAAGACCCCTGGAAGGAGCGGTGGGGCCAGTGCAGGCGGGGGGCTCATGGTGCCCACGGTGCTGTGAAGTCACACCATCAGCTGTGCTACTTTAGAGGCACCGCTAGTGTGGACAGAAAACGCTCCCACCAAAGCAGCAAGCTCCAAAGAAAAGATGCTAAACACAACTATAAATATTTTTTCCAAATCCTTCCAAATGTTAGCAAGTCTGAAAACTGAGTCATTTGTTTTGAGTACTTTGTTAAAACTTCACCCCAAAACTACTACAGGAGGGAGGTGTTACCAGAGAAGAGAACAGGACACAGAAATAGAGAAGCTGCTGCTGATTTCAGAAGATCCCTGCGGCGTCACCATTCTGTGCCCTTTAAGGTCTGCGATGTCCTCCGCAGACTTTAGCTATACACGTCCTACCTGGAGACCAGGAAGCTCATGCCCAAGAGTAAATAAAATGGAAAGAGGTCAATTATGATCAAAACATGGAAACACCATTTACATTCTAATACCTGCATTCAATCAAACCATCCCGACTTTCTAAACCATTTCACAAGGCCTCGTACCATCCCCACCCTGCCACTGGACCAGTCTTCTCAGGAACTTCTGCAACTTGAAGATTAATCTGAAATTCAATTTGAAGTTAGGCTTTGTCCTAAAGCCCCACCTGGGGGGCCGCCGGCCGAGCCTGTGGCACGCTGCCTGGACTCGGGTCTCCACGGCGGCTCCTGCAGTCAGTAGGCGGCCCAGGCCTTGGTCCTCAGCAGAGCATGGAAGAGCGTAGCAAAAGGCCTGTGCAAGCGTAAAGCCTGGTTTCTCCCCCACAGGAACAGTTCTATAGCTACAAGCTCCACGTGCACTTCTCCTGGAGCATGCTGAGAGCTACTGAATAAGAGAATGTGGTCCATTCAACAGAAATGCCTGAAATGGTTAAGGCTGAACAGCCCACTGAGCAATCACCACTTTATTCAGAGCACAGCTTTGAGGCCCTTTCATGTAAATTTGTTCTATTTTGGCATTTTCTTGGGTGAAGCTTTGATCAACCCACAGTCAATAGTTAGTTAAAGTGAAAGTTGCACAGTTCTGTCTGACTCTTTGCAACCCCATGGACTATACAGTTCATGGAATTCTCTGGGTCAGAATACTGGAGTGGGTAGCCTTTCCTTTCTCCAGTGGATTTTCCCAACCCAGGGACTGAACCCAGGTCTCCCACATTGCAGGCAGATTCTTTACCAACTGAGCCAAAGGGAAAGCCCAAGAATACTGGAGTGGGAAGCCTATTCCCTCTCCAGCGGATCATCCTGACCCAGGGATCGAACTGGGGTGTCCTGCACTGCAGGCGGATCCTTTACCAACTGAGCCATCAGGGAACCTACAGTCAATAGAGCACCCCAAGTAAAGCTTATGTCGCCTGGTTTTAGCTCTGCTTCCTAGAGGCTATTCCAGAATCTAGATGCTGAAAGGAGAGGGGCTCCTGGTCTCACGTCATCCTCGATGACACCAAAAGTATGAGCAACTGAAGGAAAACGGAGAAAGGATGGCCTTCATCAAAATAAAAATTCTGTGCTGTAAAGAAAGTGAAGAACTTTTCTGTAAAGAAAGTGAAGCGACAACCCAGAGTGGGAGAAAACCCTTGTAAATCATAATTCTCCTAAGGGTCTGGGACATGACTGAGCAAGTGGGTATGCACACGTGAGACGCACACATCCGGAATATACGAAAAAGCCTTACAACTCAGTAATAAAAAGACAAATAACCCAATTAAAAATTGAGCAAAGTATCTGAATATGTTAGTTCCCCAAATAAGATACATAAATGACCAATAAGCACACAAGAAAGATGCTCACTGGCCCTTCGGGGAATGCAAATCAAGACTCTGAGGACTTGGGGGTGCAATGGATAGCACGGTGACCGCAGTCAACAACACTGCACTGCAGGCCTGTAAGGTGCTGAGAGGGCAGGTCCGAAGTTCTCATCACAGGAGGAAACTGTGTATTGTGACAGGTGTTATTAGGCTTATTGTGGCAATTTCTTTGCAATATATATATAAACATCAAATCATTATCTTGTACCTGTGAAACTAATACAATGCTACACATCAATTATATCTAAATTTTAAAAAACCTCAGTTTAATTATAACAAAAAGTGCCAATTTGGATCAGATCAGCTTTCCTTTCTGTATAGGACTGTTCTAGTACAAACCAGAACATTCAGTAACCCCCATAATATGAAAATTAGCTTTTCCTGTTTCAATGAAGTTTTTAAAGAAAATCACCATGAAATATCATTTTACACCCTCTAAGACAGGCTTTTTAAACTGGGTAAAAAAAACTCTTCAGTAAGGATACAGAGAAATCAGAACCCTCATACACTGCTGGTAGAATGTAAAATGGTGCAGTCAGTGTGGAAAACAGTCTGGCAGTTCCTTAAAAAGCTAAACATACAGTCAACCATGTGACCCCACAATTCCACTTAAAGTTATAGACCCAACAGAACTGAAAACACAAGTCCATATAATTTTGTACAAGAATGTTCACGGCAGCACTGTCCCCAGCAGCCCAACAGGGTAACCAAACACGGCATACCCACACGATGGAACACGGAGGGTGAGCGTCGTCGCTCAGCTGTGTCCCACGCGAAGCCTCCAGGCAGGAACACTGGAGTGGGCAGCCTTTCCCTTCTCCAGGGGATCTTCCCAACCCAGGGACGGAACCCAGGTCTCCCACATGGCAGGCAGATTCTTTACCAGCTGAGCCACCAGGGAAACCCTGGTGGAATGGAATGGAGTACTATTCCAACGGAACACTCCTCAGTCATGAAAGGAATGAAGTCCTGACACATGCTACAGTGTGATGAACACTGAAGAGATGACACTGAGTGAAGGATGGCAGATAAAAATGCCACCCGTTACATGATCCCATTCATACGAAATAGGAAAAGCCAGAACAGGCAAGTGCGTAGAAACAGAAAGAAGATGGGCGGACGCCAGGGCCGTGGGGTGAGGGCTCTGAGAGGAAAGGGGAGTGAGTGGTTACCAGTGGGTCAGGGGTCTCCTTTCAGGTGAGGAAGTTCTAGACTGGAGAGCAGTGATGGTTGCAGAGCTTTGCACATATGCTGAAAAGCACTGAGCTGTATACCGTAAAGGCTGAACCATGACCCTGTAACATAAAGCTGCTGGGAGGAGGCAGTGGCTACCAAAGGAGTCGGAGAGCAAGAGGGCGCCGGCTCGTCTAAGGAGAGTCTGAGAACGGCAATGAAACCCTCGCCACCCATCAGCAGAGCACCACGCGGCCGGCGGGCCACACCGCTTCCTCTGAGCTGCGCGGACGGCAGCTGTCAGCCAGCACTGTGTGCAGAGGAGCGCGGGGCTGGCGTGCACACACAGCACCTTCGAACTCAGACACGATTCCACTCACTCTCGCCATGACCCTGTGAAAGGAAGATCCACGCGGGGCCTCCCTGTGGCCCTGACCACTGACCAGTGGCCTGAAAGAACTTGGCGGCTGACTCTGATTGCAGGGGCTTCCAGCACACGTCCCATGTCTCCTGGGCGGGACAGGTGGTCCTCAGCCTTGCACCTTGACCTCTGTCGCCCCATCCCTGGGGGTTTATGATGCCCCAAATGTAGACAGTCACCAACACAGGCATCCACCCTGACACCTGACTCCTTATCTCCACTTACGCATTTTTGCTCGACGAACCACTCCTGTCACCTCTGCACATGAAGACTTCATTTTTTTTTGTCCCCCAACGAAGTCACAAAATGGGGACTAGGAAGCATGGGAGTAAATAACTCATTAAGTCACACCCTTCTGTGTAAAAGTTTTAATAGAAGTACACTTAGCATAGTCACCAGGGCCACTAGCTATTTAAGGGTAACTAGAGTGCACTAAAATCAGACTTCAGCTTTTGATCTGAGTGGTAGAACAGTCAAAAGAAAACCGCTTAGGATACATGGTAAACTGAAATACGGCAGGGGTTGGGGATGGGATGGGATGCATAAGAAAAATAATTTCTGGGGACTCCCCTGGGGGTCCAGTGGCTAAGAATCCCCCTTGCAAAGCATGGGACGTGGGTTCAATTCCTGGTTGGGGAACTAAGATCCCACGTGCCTCAGAGCAACTAAGCACGTGCACCACAACTAGAGTCCGTGCGCCACAGTGGAGACCTCGCGGGACAACCAGGGAGTCTGCGAGACCGCGCATCACACACAACTTAAGACCTGATGCAGCAAATAGATAAAATATTTTTAAAAAGGCAGAACAATTTCTTCAGCAAACTAGAAAAGGCACTCACAGAATAATGACAACAGGCTCCCTCATCACGAGATCTTTATGGGCTTCTACTCTCTTCCTTTTGGGTATTATTTGCTTTAAAAAAATAATGCTCATTTTGTAACAAGTTACAAACAAAACATTTTCATTTTGAGAAAGCAAAAGTAGCCCTGGCTCAGACGATCATAACCTGTTCATCTCTAAACCCCACAAATACCAGACTGAGTTGGAACACCAGGGGATGAGTGTGTGCCGACCCCGGGCACACACACACACCTCTGCCCTGTCTGCTGGGAGGCCCTTGCTGGCAGGTGCGGTCCTCTCCCCAGCTCAGCACCTGACCAGCCAACTGGGGAGCTGGGATCAGGGAACCTCTGCTTACCTGGACAGGCGGCTCAATCGCTATCCAGGCCGGAAGCATCAGACTGGGGTTCAGCGGCTGGGTGCCAACGCGGAAGTAAACGCCACCCCTGGAGTCGCAGGCCCAGACATGCTGGTTTCCACAGGCCAGGCTCGTCAGTTTCACAGCTCCTGTGGGCAGAGAAGGCATACGTGCCGGTCACTTTTGTGTGATAACTCACGGCTCATGTAAGCTCTGAACTTTGATTTTGTTCTTCAAAGGAAGAAATGACACTGTGTGTGCAGCTGAACTCTGTGTCTGGAGAATATTATAGCGCGCGAGGGTCACCAAGGCCTCTGGGTGCCGGCCACCCGCCCGGCGCCACCCTGCAGCCCTGCCACGCCAGGGACAGAGGGGTCAAATGCCATCAGCACACGCCCTGAGCCACCAAGCACGGGTTAATACCTCAGCATGGGCCTCACAATTATCTTCATCACATACACAACTGTTAGCAGCAAATTCTGGGTCTCGGGTGAGAGAATTCATCCTTTGGGTAATCTTGATCCCAATCAGAATTCAGCCCAGTTCAGTCGCTCAGTCGTGTCTGACTCTCTGTGACCCCATGGACTGCAGTACACCAGGCTTTTCTGTCCATCACCAATTCCCGGAGCTTACTCAAACTCATGTCCAACGAGTTGGGGATGCCATCCAACCATCTCATCCTCTGTCGTCCCCTTTTCCTCCCACTTTCAATCTTTCCCAGCACCAGGGTCTTTTCAAATGAGTCAGTTCTTTGCATCAGGTGGCCAAAATACTAGGAGTTTCAGCTTCAGCATCTTCCAATTACAATTGACTAATGAAGCCTCCCGGAATCTTCATTTTTCTTTTTACATTTCTCCTTGCTTATTAAACTAATTTTAAGAGGAAAGGAAGTGGGAGGAGCATTTAAAGAGAAATTATATTTGATTAAGAGTTTACCTGGGAGAAAGAGCAACAGCTAACATCACTGAACCTCATCACAACCATACCCAGTTACTGCTGCCCCAGCTCACACATGAGGCCATCGGACCTGAAGAGATGAAGAGGACGTAGACATGAAGAGATCTGCCCAAGATCCCAGAGAGAAGGTGGCTAAGCCAGGAGGCAAGGGTGCACTGGGGTCTGAACCCAGGCCAGCCCGGCTCCTCCCCGTCAGCGGCTTCTGACCTCGGGCTCCACACCTGCTGAGTACACAGATCTTACAAGTTCAGCCTCATCACTGCTGACAAATGAATATACCCGAGTAACCCGTGTCTTATCCCGTCACAGAACGTTTTCATCACCCAGAAAGTTCCCTCAAGCCTCTTCTGGTCACACCCTCTGCCGAGGCAGCCACTGTTTTGCCTCCTGTTGCCATGGGTCCAGTCAGTCTGGTCCAGAGGCCCAGGAGAACAGGATCAAGGCCAGCACTCCCCTGGGCCTGGCTTCCTGCACTCAGTGTGATGTCAGGACGGGACAGTCAGCCATTCACTCCTCCTCACTGCTGAGTGATATTCCACCGTATGGAACAGCCACCGCTGGTGTCTCCTACTGGCAGACACTTCGGCCACTTCCACACTGTGCAACTAGGAGCAAAGCTGCTATCATCGTTCCTGTAGAAGACTTTGTGGTGAACACGTGTTGTTTTTCTTAAATAACAACTAGGAGTGGGACTCTGGGCTGTGACGTTTTTATGTTTAACTTCCAAAGAGACTGCCGGCACCCCATCTTACACGCCCACCTGCAGCCCACACCCTCACCAGCATCCACTCTGGGTACCTTTTCACATCGGCCATCCTAGTAGAGGTGAAGTGGCGTCTTGTCATGGTTTTAATTTGCATATTCCTGATAACAAGTAATGCTGAGAATCTTTCAATGTGTTTATGGGGGCACTTCCTTTGTGAAGTACCTGTCAAGCCTTTTGCCCATTTTTCAAATGGAATGGTTTGACTTCTGGTGACTAAGTTAGAGGATGAATCATTCTGACTATAAAGCAGGAAAAAGGCGGTGCAGCTACGTTCACCGGCGGGGGGCTCTCAGCAACCTTACGCAGTCGTCACTGGCATCAGACGACAGCACGTGTCATCACCAGAATATACAGGGCAGGGATCCTGCGATGGGAAAATCTCATCACGTGCATTTAGCTTAAAAGTATTAACCCATTACTACTGAAAAAATTTCCTAAAGATGATGATTTCTCTATACCAAAACGAATTGTATTTTAAAAATCTTTTACAGAGTGTCTTACCAGGGAGTTAAAATAGACATCCCAGGGCTCCAACATTACATATTAAAAGATCTGTAGCAATCCAAATAAAGTACTTCCAGCAGTAAATTTCAGAAATAGCTGAGAAACAAATTCTCACTTTAAAATGTTAATTTAAAATGATTCTATGTTGGAATCATCAACCTGCCCTAATAGGAACTGCTCCTGTGAAGAAAGTTACCTGGTGACAGAAACACCCTGGGTCACCACCTCAGAGCTAGCAGCGAACCCCGCCCCTAGTGAAACAGGAGTTCACACTACAAGGTCAGCGTCTTCTACAGCAATTGTAAAAGCCTGTGTGTATATGAACTTATTTTAAACGGAAGAGACGGGTCCAGAGAGAAAACATTCAGTTGAGGGCCTTTCTGCGGTGTCCGACCTCTCAGAGGGTCTCCGGGGCTGCCTGGACGCAGGCGTGTGGGGTGGAGACAGGTGGCACCACACATGGCTCCCAGCACCCCGGGCCTGCGGCAGCCCCTGGAGTTAGGAGCCACCCCCACCCCACAGGTTCTGGACAACGGGCCGTGAGGAGAAGTGGCCCCTCACTCCTGAGCCGAAGCACGAATGAGCTGGCAAGAGGGCCTTCCTCTCAGTGGTCCCTGTGGCAGTGGGCTCGGCCAGCCAGCACCCGCGAGACGCAGACAGGGTGAGTGCCAGCCTCGTGGGAGCAGAGAGCCGCAGCGTGCGTGAAGTTGTGGGCATCCGGGGCTTGTTGACTACAGCACTAGTCCAGCTAACACAGACACGCTGCAGTTTTCCTGTCTCCTGTTTTGCTTTCCCCTCCCATGTAAATAAAAAGTTTTAATTACTTTATTCAACAGATCAGACATTTTCTCTTTAAGACTATACTTTTTAAACATATATTTTAGAACAAAGGGTGGCATTTATTTGGTGTTTTACTATTTATAAAATTGCTTTTCTGCATAAATTACTATATAATATAGTCCTATTTGTTACCTAAGGGCATGAACTGATGCTGAATATGTCTTCATTAAATCCTGTGACCAGATGAATTCAATTACAGACTACATCAGCTTGCTAAACATTCTAGTGCCTGACACAGGCATATTTACGTGTACTGGGAAATGAAATGTTATGAGCATCTTAAATATCTGCTAAACGATGCAACTTTTTTCTAAAAACTAGGCTTGTCATATCTCATAATATTTTATATTTAGTCTCTGTGACTGAGTTCAGCAGCTGAACTGAAGACATCTCTCAATCTCAGACACGCAACCCGGAACTGCAGTGAGGAACCGCCTCACAGCGTCAGAACAGCTGTCAAAAAAGCCTGCAAAAAAATAAACACTGGAGATGGTGTGGAGAAAGGGACCCTCCTGCACTCTTGGTGGGAACGTCAGTTGCTGCAGCCACTGTGGAGAACAGTATGGAGGTTCCTTAAAACTAAAAATAGAGGTAACATGATCTAGCAATCCCACTCCTGGGTATATATCTGGACAAAACTATCATTCCAAAAGATACAAGCACCTGTACGTTCATAGCAGCACTATTCATAATAGCCAAGACATGGAAGCACCCTAAATGTCCATCGATGATGAATGGATAAAGATCTGGGATAATGCCAATAAGGTCACTTGAAGCAACATGGATGCAACTAGAAATTATTGTATTAAGTGAAGTCAGAAAGAGAAAGACAAATATAATAAATTTTGTCTATATATAATATATAATAATTATATATTATAATAATTTCACTTATACGTGGGATCTAAAATTTGACACAATTAACTTATTTATGAAACAGAAACAGAATCAGGGACATAGAGAATTGACTGGTGGTTGCCAAGGGGCTGGGGTTAAGGGAGGGATGGATCCGGAGGTCAGGGTTAGTACATGTTAAGCTGTTACATGTAGAATAAACAAACAACAAAGTCCTACTATATAGTACAGGGCACACCAGTCAATATTCTATGATGGAATATTCTAATATTCATAGACTATTCAACATTCTATGATGGATAAACCATGGTGGAAATAATATATATGTGTGTGTGTGTGTATAACCGAATCACTTTGCTGTATGTACTGCAATAATTAATACAACATTGTGATAGGGAATAGAATCTAAAAAAAGGGTGGATAGATGTATATTTATAACTGACTTGCTTTGCTATACAATAGAAACATAACACTGTAAATCAACTATACTCCAATAAAAATTAATTAAAAACCCTACAACACTGTAAATCAACTATACCTGAATTTAAAAAAAGAAAAATAATTCTCTTAATCTAATTCCAAAGCAGCAATAGATTTGGTAACTTGTACAATGACAGAAAAGATAGATGCTACATCTTGAAAAAGAAATTAAAGAAAGACAGAAAGAATGTTCATGATTTGATACTTTGCTAAAGTCATTCTTAAAACTGAAATATCTGCTTGCACTGTAAGGACTGGTGACATTCCAGACTTTAAATGACCTGGTGTTGCCCACGGTCAAGGTCGGCATGAGGCAGCCCGGATCACACTGCTAGCACTGGGAAGATGGGTTTCTGTTTTTTGTTTTCAGTGTCAGGACATCTGTAAAGAGGAGGCCAGGACTGAAAGGGAACCAGGTAATAAAGCACATCTCTGAACAGCTCTGATAAGCCAGCATCTCCTACCTCACGCCTTGGGCAAGTGGATGATAATGTGGAGTTGGACTAATGAATTATGGTGAAGACATCTTGTACCTGCTATTAGACAGTTTTATTTGTGATGATCAGTAACAAGGAATCAAAACCCATATTCCAGAATTACTTAGAAATGGAGTTGCAAAATGATGACAACTGGCCTGACAGTCTAATTTCTGCTGTGGGTGGATATGGCCATGCGCAAGGCCCTCCACCTCCAAAGGAAGCTCCTCGAGGGTCTGAAAGAAGTGAGTGCTGGGACAGCGTGGGAACA